AATATGAACACAAATGGAGTTTGGGGAAAATAGACCTTGACATTTGGGAGTTGTAGTTGCTGGGATTTATAGTTCCATCTTATCTCCTGCATATGTCATCAGTTGGGGACCCCTCCCTGCAGCACCAACTGCCGCTCTGGGCCAGAGTGAAGAGAGAGGGCTCCAGGGGACAGTTCCATCTTGTCTCCTGCATATGTCATCAGTTGGGGACCCCTCCCCCCAGCATCAACTGGTACTCTGGGTCAGAGTGAAGAGAGGGGGGGCCAGGGGACACCTCCACCTTGTCTCCTGTGCTATTCTAATAATATAATATAATGTAATATCATAAACTATATTGTATATACATACAATATTTATAATATTATAATGTAATGCAATATAATACTACTACTAATAACATAATATTATAATTATATATTTCTATTACATGTAATATGACTAATAATATTACAATATAATGGTATAGTACAATATAGTAATTTTTAATACTGATATTGTACTATGCTCATAACATAATATCTTGTATGTATATGTCTCTTGTAAGCTGCTCTGAGTGCCCTTCGGGGTGAGAAGGGCGGCATATAAATGTCGTAAATAAATACATAAATAAATAACGATTGTAGGCACCATGGCACCCCCACCTTAGGGGGTGAAAGGGTGGACTCCCACAAAAGTTCCTATAAGTTTCATAAAATGGGAGCTACCCTTGGGGCTGGATTGGGGGTTCTCACTCTTTAAAAAACCCTGTGGTTTGGGAGAGAGCATCCTCAGCTATGATCAGACGAGAGGTGCAGCCAAAGAATTTTGGTTGACCTTTGGGATCCTTGGTGCACGCATGTCTTTGGAGGTGGTCAGAGGAGGTGACACCTGGCCCAGGGACAAGGCTCACTAGGTGGCCATTAACCCATGAGTTACATTGTGCTCTTCCAGCAGTCACCAGCCAATCCCTCTCCAACGCTAGAGATACAGCTTAATGGTGTAACATTAGAAAATGTTGACCATTTCCGCTACCTTGGCAGCCACCTCTCCACAAAAGTCAACATCGACACCGAAATACAAGACCGCCTGAGCTCTGCGAGTGCAGCATTTTTCCGAGTGAAGCAGAGAGTGTTTGAGGACCGGGACGTCCATACCAACAAGGTGCTTGTTTATAAAGCTATTGTCCTCCCAACCCTGCTATATGACTGCAAAATGTGGACTGTCTACAGAAGTCACATGCAAGTCCTAGAATGATTCCATCAGCGCTGCCTCTGAAAAATCCTGCAAATCTCTTGGGAAGACAAGCGGACAAATGTCAATGTGCTGGAAGAAGCAAAGACCACCAGCATTGAAGCGATGGTCCTCCGCATCAACTCCGCTGGACTGGCCATGTTGTCCGGATGCCCGACCACAGTCTCTCAAAAGCAGTTGCTCTACTCCGAACTCAAGAACGGAAAACAGAATGTTGGTGGGCAGGAAAAGAGATTTAAAGATGGGCTCAAAGTGAACCTTAAAAACTCTGGCATAGACACTGAGAACTGGGAAGCCCTGGCCTGCGAGCCCTCCAGCTGTGACCAGCAGTGCTGCATAATTTGAAGAGGCACAAATAGAGGGCAAAAGGGAGAAACGTGCCAGGAGGAAGGCGCGTCAAGCCAACCCCGACCGGGGCCGCCTTCCACCTGGAAACCAATGCCCTTACTGCAGGAGAAGATGCAGATCAAGAATAGGGCTTCAAAGGCACCTACATACCCACCCTGGAGGACTATCCTACTCAGACAACGAGGGATCGCCTAATTAAGTAAGTAAGTGTGTGTTTACATAGAATCATAGAATCATAGAGTTGGAAGAGACCTCATGGGCCATCCAGTCCAACCCCCTGCCAACAAGCAGGAAAATTGCATTCAAAGCACCCCTGACAGATGGCCATCCAGCCTCTGTTTAAAAGCTTCCAAAGAAGGAGCCTCTACCATGCTCTGGGGCAGAGAGTTCCACTGCTAAACAGCTCTCACAGTCAGGAAATTCTTCCTAATGTTCAGATGGAATCTCCTTTCTACAGATTTTTCCTTTACAGGTTATTACGAGTTCTTTCAATAAATAGGTCAGACAATGGCCCTGTAGATCCATTTCCATTAGTCTGGTTTCTTTATTTCATGGTGGGAGTTCAAACAGCTCTCCCCTTGGCTTCTCTGCCAAAGGGGTTCCTTTCTAACCCAACATCTGCCTGCCACCTCAGGAGGAGAAGGAGGCAATCTTGCTGCTTCCCTCCCCCCCCCCCCCAAGCCAGCTAAGAGGAGAAAAGGGTCTGAGGAAGAGACTTTAAAAATGCCAGTCTCCTGGCTGTTTCTTACTATATCTGCCTGCCACCTCAGGAGGAGAAGGAGGAAATCCTGCTGATACTCTCCCCCTCCCCCCATAAGCCAGCTAAGAGGAAGAAGGGGACTGAGGAAAGGTCTTTAAAAACACCTGTTTCCTGGCTGTTGCTTACTACATCTGCCTGCCACCTCAGGAGGAGAAGGAGGAAATCCTGCTGCTTCTTCCCCCCCGCTCAAGCCAGCTAAGAGGAGAAAGGGGACTGAGGAAGAGACTTTAAAAACACCTGTCTCCTGGCTGTTGCTTACTACATCTGCCTGCCACCTCAGGAGGTGAAGGAGGAGATCCTGCTGCTTCTCCCCCCCCCCAAGCCAGCTAAGTGGAGAAAGGGGACTGAGGAAAAGACTTTAAAAACACTTGTCTCTTAGCTGTTGCTTACTACGTCTGCCTCCCACCTCAGGAGGAGAGGGAGGAAATCCTGCTGCCTCTCCCCCCCCCCCCCGTTAAGAGGAGGAGGGGGACTGAGGAAGAGACTTTAAAAACACTGAGGAAGAGACTTTAAAAACAGCTGTCTCCTGGCTGTTGCTTACTACATCTGCCTGCCACCTCAGGAGGAGAAGGAGGAAATCCTGCTGCTTCTTCCCCGCCCCGCTCAAGCCAGCTAAGAGGAGAAAGGGGACTGAGTAAGAGACTTTAAAAACACCTGTCTCCTGGCTGTTGCTTACTACATCTGCCTGCCACCTCAGGAGGAGAAGGAGGAAATCCTGCTGCTTCCCCCCCCCCCCCCCCAAAGCCAGCTAAGTGGAGGAAGGGGACTGAGGAAGAGACTGTAAAAACACCTGTCTCTTAGCTGTTGCTTACTACGTCTGCCTGCCACCTCAGGAGGAGAGGGAGGAAATCCTGCTGCTTCTCCCCTCCCCCCAAAAAGCCAGCTAAGAGGAGGAGGGGGATTGAGGAAGAGACTTTAAAAACACTGAGGAAGAGACTTTAAAAACAGCTGTCTCCTGGCTGTTGCTTACTACATCTGCCTGCCACCTCAGGAGGAGAAGGAGGAGATCCTGCTGCTACTCCCCCCCCCCTAAAGCCAGCTAAGTGGAGGAAGGGGACTGAGGAAGAGACTGTAAAAACACCTGTCTCTTAGCTGTTGCTTACTACGTCTGCCTGCCACCTCAGGAGGAGAGGGAGGAAATCCTGCTGCTTCTCCCCCCCCCCCCAAAAGCCAGCTAAGAGGAGGAGGGGGATTGAGGAAGAGACTTTAAAAACACTGAGGAAGAGACTTTAAAAACAGCTGTCTCCTGGCTGTTGCTTACTACATCTGCCTGCCACCTCAGGAGGAGAAGGAGGAGATCCTGCTGCCTCCCCCCCCCACCCTAAAGCCAGCTAAGTGAAGAAAGGGGGCTGAGGAAGAGACTTTAAAAACACCTCTCTCTTGGCTGTTGCTTACTATGTCTGTCTGCCACCTCAGGAGGAGAGGGAGGAAATCCTGCTGCTTCTCCTCCTCCCCCCAAGCCAGCTAAGAGGAAGAAGGGGACTGAGGAAGAGACTTTAAAAACACCTGTCTCCTGGCTGTTGCTTACTACATCTGCCTGCCACCTCAGGAGGAGAAGGAGGAAATCCTGCTGCTTCTCCCCCCTCCCCCCAAGCCAGCTAAGAGTAGAAAGGGGGCTGAGGAAGAGACTTTAAAACACCTCTCTCTTGGCTGTTGCTTACTACATCTGTCTGCCACCTCAGGAGGAGAAGGAGGAAATCCTGCTGCTTCTTCCCTCGCCTCCCTCAAGCCAGCTAAGAAGAGGAAGGGGACTGAGGAAGAGACTTTAAAAACACTGAGTAAGAGACTTTAAAAACACCTGTCTCCTGACAGTTGCTTACTACATCTGCCTGCCACCTCAGGAGGAGGAGGAAATCCTTCTGCTTCTCCCCCCCCCCCCAAAGCTACCTAAGAGGAGGAAGGGGACTGAGGAAGAGACTTTAAAAACAGCTGTCTCCTGGCTGTTGCTTACTACATCTGCCTGCCACCTCAGGAGGAGAAGGAGGAAATCCTGCTGCTTCTCCCCCCTCAAGCCAGCTAAGAGGAGAAAGGTGACTGAGGAAGAGACTTTAAAAACACCTGTCTCCTGACTGTTGCTTACTACATCTGCCTGCCACCCAGGCATGTAGCCTGTCTCCTGTCTGTTGTGGTTTTATACTGTATTTATTGTTTTATGTGCATTTTGATATTATGTAGATTACTTGTTGCCACCAGAAGCGACGACCAAAAAAAAACTTGTTGCCTGTAAAAAGCGTTGAGTCACCAAAAGGCTGAGAAAGGCAGTATGCAAATACAGTAAATAAATAAATAAGGCCATCAGAAATACATGTTTTCGGATGGTCTTTGGGCGACCCCTCTGAAACCCTCTCCCACCCATCCCAGGGGTTGAGAAAGCTGCTCTAGGCCCTCCCACCTCACCTTTCCCTTCATCCAGCCTTCCTCAACAAGGACTGAAGGCGACTTTCTCTGCTGGCCTCCAGCTGTGCATAGGTTTCATCCTCTGGGATGTGTGTAGGTGAGAGCAGAAACACTTTCTCCCAAAACCCTGTTCCGGTTTCATCCTGGAGACCGGTTTCCCCCCGCTCCTCCTTTCTCTCCTCCTCCTTCTCTGGGTCTCTTCCATTCTCCGGGTATATCCCTCCCATCCCTCCCTCTCTCTCTCTCTCTCTCTCTCTCTCTCTCTCTCTCTCCCTCCCTCCCTGCTTTCTTCGAGAGCGACGAGCCTTCTTTCCTTTCGTTTTTCCTTCCGCTCTTCCCTCTTGCCCGGCTGCCTTGCTCTTCTCCCTCCTCTTTTCGACCCATTGGAGGCGGAGTGTGCCTGACAACACGGTATAAAAGATGCCAGGTCCACGCAGGACTTGCGGCATCCACGCCGCGCTGTCCAAGAGACATCAACCATGGAGGTCCACCACAGGCCCCGAGCTGAGCTCCGACAGATGCGCTGCCTGGTGGCACTCTGCCTCTTCGTCTCCTTGCTGCTCAGCTTGCCTGTCCTCTACCTTCTCAAACGGAGTGCGGGACAGAACCTGGATGGAGAGGTAAGAGGATTTGGGAGGGGACCTGAGAAGGAGAGGATCATAGAAGCATGGAATCAGAGAATCCTAGAGTTGGAGGAGACCTGGTGGGCCCCAGGAAGAATACTAAGGGTCCTCCAGCTTGGCTGGTTGAACTTCCAGAACGGGCTTGGAGATTTATGTTATAGGGTGTCCTTTCTAAGCCAACAATTGACCTGGTGGGCCCCAGGAAGAAGACTAAGGGACCTCAAGGTTGGCTGGTTGGAGTTTCAGAACAGGCTTGGGGACAGGGTGTTCATTCTAACCCTATGAGCTTGGAAAATCATAGTCATAGAGTTGGAGACTTAAGCTATAGGGTGTCTGTCCAACCCAACAATTCATAGAATCATAGAGTTGGAGAAGACCTGGTGGGCCATCCAGTCCAACTCCATACTGCCAAGAAACTTTCCAAGGGCAAAGCTCTGCAATTTGATGGCTCTCCAGGTAGAAGACTAAGCTTGGCTGGATGGACTTCCAGAATGGGCTTGGAGATTTATGTTATAGGGTTTCCTTTCTAAGCCAACAATTGACCTGGTGGGCTCCAGGAAGAAGACTAAGGGACCTCAAGCTTGGCTGGTTGGAGTTTCAGAACGGGCTTGGAGACAGGGTGTTCATTCCAACCCTATGAGCTTGGAAAATCATAGAATCATAGAGTTGGAGACTTATGCTACAGGGCAGGCATGTAGCCGGGGGGGGGGCTTGAGGGACTTCAGCGCCCCCCCTCCCAAAAAAAACCTGGTGGGCCCCAGGAATAAGACTTAGGGTCCTCCAGCTTGGGTCCTCCAGCTTGGCTGGATGAAATTCCAGAATAGGCTTGGAGACTTATGTCATAGGGTGTCCTTTCTAAGCCAACAATTGACCTGGTGGGCTCCAGGAAGAAGACTAAGGGACCTCAAGGTTGGCTGGTTGGAGTTTCAGAACAGGCTTGGGGACAGGGTGTTCATTCTAACCCTATGAGCTTGGAAAATCATAGTCATAGAGTTGGAGACTTAAGCTATAGGGTGTCTGTCCAACCCAACAATTCATAGAATCATAGAGTTGGAGAAGACCTGGTGGGCCATCCAGTCCAACTCCATACTGCCAAGAAACTTTCCAAGGGCAAAGCTCTGCAATTTGATGGCTCTCCAGGTAGAAGACTAAGCTTGGCTGGATGGACTTCCAGAATGGGCTTGGAGATTTATGTTATAGGGTTTCCTTTCTAAGCCAACAATTGACCTGGTGGGCTCCAGGAAGAAGACTAAGGGACCTCAAGCTTGGCTGGTTGGAGTTTCAGAACAGGCTTGGAGACAGGGTGTTCATTCCAACCCTATGAGCTTGGAAAATCATAGAATCATAGAGTTGGAGACTTATGCTACAGGGCAGGCATGTAGCCGGGGGGGGGGGGGCTTGAGGGACTTCAGCGCCCCCCCCCCAAAAAAAACCTGGTGGGCCCCAGGAAGAAGACTTAGGGTCCTCCAGCTTGGGTCCTCCAGCTTGGCTGGATGAAATTCCAGAATAGGCTTGGAGACTTATGTCATAGGGTGTCCTTTCTAAGCCAACAATTGACCTGGTGGGCTCCAGGAAGAAGACTAAGGGACCTCAAGGTTGGCTGGTTGGAGTTTCAGAACAGGCTTGGAGACAGGGTGTTCATTCTAACCCTATGAGCTTGGAGAATCATAGTCATAGAGTTGGAGACTTATGCTACAGGGCGAGCATGTAGCCGGGGGGGGGGGGTTGAGGGGCTTCAGCCCCCCCCCCCCGAAACCTGGTGGGCCCCAGGAAGAAGACTTAGGGTCCTCCAACTTGGGTCCTCCAGCTTGGCTGGATGAAATTCCAGAATAGGCTTGGAGACTTATGTTATAGGGTGACCCTTTCTAAGCCAACAATTCATAGAATCCTAGAGTTGGAGGAGACCTGGTGGGCCGCAGGAAGAAGACTTTGGGTCCTCCAGCTTGGGTCCTCCAGCTTGGCTGGATGAAATTCCAGAATAGGCTTGGAGACTTATGTAATAAGGTGACCCTTTCTAACCCAACAATGCATAGAATCCTGGAGTTGGAGGAGACCTGGTGGGCCCCAGGAAGAAGACTAAGGGTCCTCCAGCTTGGGTCCTCCAGCTTGGCTGGATGGGTGTCCTTTCTAATCCAACAATTCATAGAATCCTAGAGTTGGAGGAGACCTGGTGGGCCCCAGGAAGAAGACTAAGGGTCCTCCAGCTTGGCTGGATGAAATTCCAGAATAGGCTTGGAGACTTATGTCATAGGGTGTCCTTTCTAAGCCAACAATTGACCTGGTGGACTCCATGAAGAAGACTAAGGGACCTCAAGGTTGGCTGGTTGGAGTTTCAGAACAGGCTTGGAGACAGGGTGTTCATTCTAACCCTATGAGCTTGGAGAATCATAGTCATAGAGTTGGAGACTTATGCTACAGGGCGAGCATGTAGCCGGGGGGGGGGGGGCTTGAGGGACTTCAGCGCCCCCCCCCCAAAAAAAACCTGGTGGGCCCCAGGAAGAAGACTTAGGGTCCTCCAGCTTGGGTCCTCCAGCTTGGCTGGATGAAATTCCAGAATAGGCTTGGAGACTTATGTCATAGGGTGTCCTTTCTAAGCCAACAATTGACCTGGTGGACTCCATGAAGAAGACTAAGGGACCTCAAGGTTGGCTGGTTGGAGTTTCAGAACAGGCTTGGAGACAGGGTGTTCATTCTAACCCTATGAGCTTGGAGAATCATAGTCATAGAGTTGGAGACTTATGCTACAGGGCGAGCATGTAGCCGGGGGGGGGGGGTTGAGGGGCTTCAGCCCCCCCCCCCCCGAAACCTGGTGGGCCCCAGGAAGAAGACTTAGGGTCCTCCAACTTGGGTCCTCCAGCTTGGCTGGATGAAATTCCAGAATAGGCTTGGAGACTTATGTTATAGGGTGACCCTTTCTAAGCCAACAATTCATAGAATCCTAGAGTTGGAGGAGACCTGGTGGGCCGCAGGAAGAAGACTTTGGGTCCTCCAGCTTGGGTCCTCCAGCTTGGCTGGATGAAATTCCAGAATAGGCTTGGAGACTTATGTAATAAGGTGACCCTTTCTAACCCAACAATGCATAGAATCCTGGAGTTGGAGGAGACCTGGTGGGCCCCAGGAAGAAGACTAAGGGTCCTCCAGCTTGGGTCCTCCAGCTTGGCTGGATGGGTGTCCTTTCTAATCCAACAATTCATAGAATCCTAGAGTTGGAGGAGACCTGGTGGGCCCCAGGAAGAAGACTAAGGGTCCTCCAGCTTGGCTGGATGAAATTCCAGAATAGGCTTGGAGACTTATGTTATAGGGTGACCCTTTCTAACCCAAGAATTCATAGAATCTTGGAGTTGGAGGAGACCTGGTGGGACCCAGAAAGAAGACTAAGGGTCCTCCAGCTTGGGTCCTCCAACTTGGCTGGATGGGTGTCTTTTCTGATGCAACAATTCATAGAATCCTAGAGTTGGAGGACACCTGGTGGGCCATCCAGTCCAACTCCATCCTGCCAAGAAGGTTGGGAAGGGCAAAGCTCTGCAATTTGATGGCTCTCCAGGTAGAAGACTAAAACTCCTCCAGTTTGGCTGGATGGACTTCCAGAACGGGCTTGGAGACTTATGTTATAGGGTGTCCTTTCTAAGCCAACAATTCATAGAATCCTAGAGTTGGAGGAGACCTGGTGGGCCCCAGGAAGAAGACTTAGGGTCCTCCAGCTTGGGTCCTCCAGTTTGGCTGGATGAAATGCCAGAATAGACTTGGATACTTATGTTATAGGGTGACCCTTTCTAACCCAACAATTCATAGAATCCTGGAGTTGAAGGAGACCTGGTGGGCCCCAGGAAGAAGACTAAGGGTCCTACAGCTTGGCTGGATGAACTTCAAGAACAGGCTTGGAGACATATGTTATAGGGTGTCCTTTCTAAGCCAACAATTGACCTGGTGGGCCCCAGGAAGAAGACTAAGGGACCTCAAGCTTGGCTGGTTGGAGTTTCAGAACAGGCTTGGGGACAGGGTGTTTATTTTAACCCTATGAGCCTGGAGAATCATAGAGTCATAGAGTTGGAGACTTATGCTATAGGGTGTCTGTCCAACCCAACAATTCATAGAATCACAGAGTTGGAGAAGACCTAGTGGGCCATCCAGTCCAACTCCATACTGCCAAGAAACTTTCCAAGGGCAAAGCTCTGCAATTTGATGCCTCTCCAGGTAGAAGACTAAGCTTGGCTGGATGGACTTCCAGAATGGGCTTGGAGACTTATGTTATAGGGTGTCCTTTCTAATCCAACAATTCATAGAATCCTAATCTTGGAGGAGACCTGTTGGGCACCAGGAAGAAGACTAAGGCTCCTACAGCTTGGCTGGATGGACTTCCAGAATGGGCTTGGAGACTTATGTTATAGGTGCTCCATTCTTATCCAACAATTCATAGAATCATGGAGTTCGAGGGGACCTGGTGGGCCCCAGGAAGAAGACTAAGGGTCCTCCAGCTTGGCTGAATGGACTTCCAGAACAGGCTTGAAGACATATGCTATAGGGCATCCTTTCTAACCCGACAATTCATAGAATTGTAATCTTGGAGGAGACCTCGTAGGCCATCCAGTCCAACCCCATTCTGCCAAGACGGTTGCCAAGAGGGTTGAGAAGGGCAGAGTTTTGGGATTTGATGACTCCCTGGGAAGAAAACTAAGGAATTCATCCAACTTGGCTGGATGGACTTCCACAACAGCCTTGGAGACTTATTTTACAGGGTGTTCATTCTAACCCTGTGGGCTTGGAGGGTTAGGAAGGGCAAAGTTTTGGGATTTGATGACTCCTTAGGAAGAAAACTAAGGAACTCCTCCAGATTGGCTGGATGGACTTCCAGAATGGGCTTGGAGACTTTTGTTATAGGGTTTTCTTTCTAACCCAACAATTCATAGAATCGTAGAGTTGGAAGAGACCTGATTGGCCCCAGGAAGAAGACTAAGGGTCCTCCAGCTTGGCTGGATGGACTTCCAGAATGGGCTTGG